CATCCCCCTCCTTCCTCCCAAAGCTTGCTTGGCCAGCAGAAACAGGCCGGTGGTTCAAAGTGTGGACTTTACAACACCGATCCAGCGCAGCAGAAGCGGAACCCTCCGGCATGGGAAAGAAGATCCAAAGAGTGTTTTGCTCTTGTTTGGCAATCTGGGGACAGGAAAGCGGATAGTATTTCCCTGCCCTCCTCCCYTCCCCCTGCCCCTTTTGAATTAATTATTTTTCAAGGGTTTTTCCTTTTAATTCTCAGTTTTTTATATATAAATAATATTAAAAAAAGAAAGGAGATCCCTTGGGGTTCTGGATACTCTTCCAACGTCAGAAAGAAAAGGAAACAATTATGCTATTTAAAAGGGGGGGAAAGCTCTTAATATAATTTTTTTTTCCTTAGGACAAGCATATTTATTTCCTTTCCCAGGCCCCCATGGAGTGGGCTCAGTGCATAGGGATGTTGGCCTGTGAGGAGGGAGCTGCCCCACGGTGCACACTCCACTCTCCCTGGGAGCTGCACGCTTCATGAGCAGCACGAGCTCAACAGTGCTGCTCCAGGGAGGCTACAGGACTCTGTGCCTCCATCCCCAGWCTGTCCCACTTTGCTTCCAGCATGAGACCTTGGAGAAAAAGAGGAATCCAGCAGAACTAGCTGGAAGAGAGAGAAGAGTCGGGTGGGATTTAAACACCAATAAGGCTCAAATGCTTGGCTTGAGCACTGCAACCCTGGGATGTCTCCAAAGGACCCAAAGCCTCTTTTTCATCTTTTCTTTTTTTTTTCCCCCCTAAATCTTTCACTGGGGTGCGGAGGAGGAAGGAGAATCTCAAAGCCATTATCTTCTGCTGGTTGTTCAATGCACCACTGCTGCAATGCCATACTAGAGATGGTGACAGAGCTGGAGCGTTTGTGTCCCCTTTTCTCTCTTCCTTCTGGGCTGGCAGAGGCAGTGCCACGACCACTGGTGCCCAGGAGGAGTGAGTTCACAGACTGTTTGTGCTGTTGGCATCCCAAACGGGGGGGCTGATGCTACCTGGACGGATGCTGGAAGAACTGGTGACCTGTGAGGGACCCTGCACACCTCCATCCCGACAGCATCTCATGCAACCTGTGTCTGACACACTGTCACTTGGCTGGTGCTCGGATATGAAGCTGCAGGTTGCTCACAGAGCAGCAGGAGAGGGGCTGGGCAGTCTCTTGATGCTCCTTCTTGTGCCCACGGAACAGATGCATCCACCCACGTGAACCAGCAGCAGCTATGCAAATACAAACCACTGGAGTCTTCTACCTGTCTGTGTTCTCACATGGACCAGCCAGAAGCTGCTACAGCCAGAGGGTAAAGTGAGAAGCTGAGTTCTGTATTCTTGTGCAGGCTCCAAGCATGGCATGCTGTACTGCAGAGGCAGGATGTTCCCTGTTTTCAGGTGAAAACTAAAAGTACCAGCACAAGTACCAGAGGATTCRTTTCTATTCCAGTTCCAGCTCCTTTGCAGCACAGCAGAGGGAAATGTCAGTCCATCCCTGGAGGCTGACCAGCTGGTTGTGAGGGGCAGGGGCTTTCCCTGCAGGATTTTCCTTTTTATGGCTTCTCTTGAAACTCAGTGCTTTGCTTGGCTAAGCCAAGAAGTCATATGCAGGACAGTGGGTCAGAGACTTTGGCACACCTTGGGAGTTCTTGGAGATCTGAGATGGGTTGTGAAGCTCACAGTCACTCTTCCCTCCAGTGGTTTTATTTGAAGCCATTTGTTTGTGTAGCTCATTATTTCTGTTTGATGGGGTGGAAAAAGAGGGGAATCGCCTTGTGGAACTGTTCTTGATGTGAAGCCTTCCTTGTCTGCTGGGGGGCACAGARAGGTCGTGTGCTCTGCTTTTTCCTGCTGCTGAAGAAACCCCTCCAGTCCTGGCTGCTGAGCACAGCAGAAGAGTCTGGGGGTCAGTGGGGCTGAGCCTGGTGTGTGTGTCCTGAGAGTCTCAGTGTCACCCTTTTGGCTGCACTTGGGGTTGGTGAAGAGAAGCTTTGCTGGGCTGTGTCAAAGCAGTGGCGAGCTGGGAGCAGTCCTCAGTTTAACTCTGAGTGGAGCATTCCAAGGTCCTGCTTGGATCTTGAGGGCAGAGCAGAGCAGTACAGGTAAAGCAGCAGCCCAGAGGGAGTTCTTGTCTCACCGATGGCAAGTGTTTCAGCTGATGGCAAGTGTTTGGGTTCATTTAGGGTGGCAGCTGGAGCCCAGTGCTGCATGGTTGGGCAAGCTGAGGAGGAGCCGTGTCCTGAGTCACTGAGGCCTTGTGTGGGCACAGTACACAGCTTAAGAACAAAAGTAAATAAACTCAGTTTCTGTAACCAGAGGCTGTGGAGCTGCTGTGAGTCCACAGCAGGGGCTGCTCACAAYTATCCTTTAGTCACTGCTCTGGTCCCCTGAGGGGTTGGTTTAGTATTCCCTGAAGTTTTGCATACCTGGAGGGGAAGGAAGATTCCCTCACCTTGCAATGGGGAATCCTGACTGCCCCCATGGCACCTTTCCTTCTGGGCTGGAGGGGTAGGACTTGTGACCTTTAAAGAGGGCACCTGAAGGGTCCCTGTGCCACCCTCCTCTCCAGAGTGTGCTTGAGGACCTGGTGAATGGTTTTTGGGTTTGCATCCCCTGTCAGAGATACACAGAGCTGAAAAACTGGGAGATTGCACAGTGTGGGAGCAGTGTGGCTGCAGAGCAGTCTCAGGGTGATTGCATCAACGTGTCATCCCCAGCATTGGGRTAAAGGAAGGCACTTTCCAGCCCCACTCCCAGCCCTCAGGATAAGTTGGAGTTTCTCCCTGGGGATAATTGAACGGATCTGCTCTGTCCAAGGGCCACTGTTCYTCCCCTGGCATGGTTGTTGCTGGTATGAAGTGGCTCTTGGGGTGGAAGCAAACATCCTGCTCCAAGCCAGAACCGTGAGCTTTCTCAGGAGAGCATCAGGCACAGTGGAGAATGCAGCCTGTACCCGTGGCTCTTCCTGCAGTGCTGCTCCTAAACCAACTCCAGGCTCGTCCCAGAGCAGTTGTAATCCAGTCCAGTAGTGCCCGCTGTGCTGGGAAGGAGAACAAACAGAAAAACCATCTTGTGGGCTGAAAACAAGGGTTTTCATGTGTTTCGGTGTGTTTCTTGGGTTTGGTTTTTCTCTTCATTACCACTCTGTTGAGCTGTTGGGGGTTTTGGGGGTGACCCCACGCTGGGAGGACGCAGATCTGTGGTGACCGAGGCTGTCCCCACACCACGGTGGACAGTCACTTCTGCTCAATGGTTTCATGGGCTGTTCMAAGCAGCTCCTCTGCTCYCATCCTTGCTTGGCTTGAGGCCACCCGCAATGCCTCGGGTTTTGTCTTGCATCTTCAATTTAGGGCTCTTTTCCTCCTTGGAGTGCGGCAGCGCCGGCCAGGGTGCGGCCAAGGCGGGCTGGCAGAGGGGACATGTCTGTGTCACTGGCACTGAGGGCACTGAGTTGTTCGAGGCGAGGGACAATCACCTCTCCTCAGCCCTCCTGGGGTTTGCAGAGCCAGAGGGGATCGTTCTCACTGAGGGATGTGGGGCCCAGCGGGGTGAGGAGGGGCTGGGGCTCTCGGCAGGTGTCTGACCGTGGTCTGAACACAGCGACTGGCTTAATAAAATACCAGATGTTTGTACTTGGTGTCCTGTGGTCATTCCCAGCCCATCCATCTGTCTGTGCAGCCCTGGAGCTGAGTGTATTTTCTGTCACTCTCGAGCATGCGTTTTCCTGACCAAACTTTTCAGTAAAAAAGTGGAGGTGGGTCCTTCCTTATCCCTGCCACCACCCCAAGAGCTCAGCCCCTGACTGTGTCAGATGATGAATGGACTGGCAGCATTTGGACATGCTTCCTGCTGATCTGGTGTGGATGGGGACAGGGAGGGAGGTGAGAATGGAAATAGGAATGGTGATGATCACGGGGATGGGAACAGGGACAAAGATGGGAGTGATGGCATGAGGGAGATGGGAATGGGGGCAAGGATGGCTGCGGAGTTGGGGACAGGAATGGGGATGAAAGAGGATGAAAATGGGGACAGAGATGGGGTTAGGGACACAGATAGGGCCGGCACAGGGATGGGACAGCACCACCATCATCAATCCYTGGACTGTGGCCTTGCCCCGGACCCTGGGCAGCTGTGGTCACTCTCCAGATGTGGTCACTGCCCAGATGTGGTCACTCCCCYGCTGTCCCCACCGGGGCTGGGCACCAGAGGGGTCCCTCTCCCCACTCTCTCTGCACCCAGCCTGTGCCTCGGTTCTTCCACCCAAACCAGGGGAATTTTGGGGGAATTTGGGGAAATTTGGGGTGATTTTGGGGAAATTTGGGGGGATTTTGGGGTGTCCGAGAGGGATTTGGGGGGTCCTGGTGGGGATTTGGGGAAATTTTGGGGGATCCTGGAAGGTATTGGGGAAAACTGGGGGAATTTTGGGGAGTTTTGGAAGGAGTTTAAAGAATTTTGGGGGGTCGTGGGAAGCTTTGGGGGAATTTTGTGAAATTTTGGGGGGTCCTGGAGGGGATTTGCGGGAATTAGGGGGAAAATTGGGGGGATTTGGGGGAATTTTGGAAGAAATTTAAAGAATTTTGGGAGTCCTGGGAAGCTTTGGGGGAATTTTGTGAAACTTTGGGAGGGTCCTGGAGGGGATTTGGGGGGGTCCTGGAAGGTATTGGGGAAAATTGGGAGGATTTGGAGGAATTTTGGGGAGTTTTGGAAGGAATTTAAAGAATTTTGGGAATCCTAGGAAGCTTTGGGGGAATTTTATGAAACTTTGAGGGGTCCTGGAGGGGATTTGGGGAAAATTGAGGGGGGACTTTTGGAAGGAATTTAAAGAATTTTGGGGGTCCTGGGAAGCTTTGGGGGAATTTTATGAAACTTTGGAAGGTCCTGGGGGGATTTAGGGGACTTTGGGGGATTTGGGGTGACACGGGGCACATCCCTTTGGCCTCACACCCACCCACTCACCCAGTTAGAAAGGAACTGGCTCCACCATTTGCGTTTATTTCTTTCCAGGGCTGACAGCAAGGGTGAGAGGGTGAGTGTGTAAAGGGGGGCTGAGGGGGGTTTAGGGGAGCTCAGCCCCTGYCCCACAGCCCAGCGGGGTCTGGTGGAGGCTACACGATGCCATAGTAACGCCGATAAGCCTCCTGGAAGCCAATTTGGTCGGCCAGCTCGTCACAGTCCGGGTTGAGCTCGCACACCTCGCGCTTGGCCTCCAGCGGGTCCCGCGGGGCTCYGTAGGCAGCGCTGGGGACAAACGGGGGGCTCAGGGGGTGCTGGGGGGTTCTGATGGGGCTGCAGGGTCCTGGGCAGGGGCTGAGCCAGCAGAACCCCCTCAATTGGGGGCCCAGAACTACCTGTCATAGCCGTAATTCCGCTTCTGTCTCTGCACCACCTCAGCGCTGGCGCGTCTGGAGACAAAGGCTGCAGGGACAGTGACAGTGACAGGGTCAGGGGGGTCGTGTCCCCCTCTCCCTGAGGTATTGGGGTCAGGGGGGTTGTGTCCCCCTCTCCCTGAGGTATTGGGGTCAGGGGGGTCGTGTCCCCCTCTCCCTGAGGTATTGGGGTCAGGGGGGTCGTGTCCCCCTCTCCCTGAGGTAACGGGGTCAGGGGGGTCGTGTTCCCCTCTCCCTGACCTAGCAGGGCCCAGCAGCAGTGGTCACTCACCTTCGGATCTGGGCGAGTCTTCGGTGCTGGCGGAGCCATCGGCAGCTGTAAATAACACAGAGGGGTGGGTGGGCTCAGGAAAGCTCCACGTGGGCTCTGCCCTCACCCTGCTCCTTTTGGGGCTCAGATCCCTGAGGGTCCCCAATCTCCCGAAGCATCCCCATCTCCCTGTTCCAGCTCTGTGTCCCCCCACCCCAAGGCTCAGCCCTGTTCTCTCCAGAACCCTTCCCGGGGCACAGAACTGTCCCCACTGTCCCCATCAGCACTGCTCCCCATCTCCCTGTTCCAGCCCTGTGTCCCCCCCACCCTAAGGCTCAGCCCTGTTCCCTCCAGAGCCCTTCCCAGGGCACAGATCTGCCCCCTCTGTCCCCATCAGCCCTGTTCCCCATCTCCCTGTGTCCCCCCACCCCAACGCTCAGCCCTGTTCCCCCCAGAGCCCTTCCTGGGGCACAGAACTGTCCCCACTGTCCCCACCAGCCCTGCTCCCCATCTCCCTGTTCCAGCCCTGTGTCCCCCCACCCTAAGGCTCAGCCCTGTTCCCTCCAGAGCCCTTCCTGGGGCACAGAACTGTCCCCACTGTCCCAATCAGCCCTGCACACCCCGGTACCTCTGCGACAGAAACCAAGGCTGAGCAGAGCCAAGATCATCAGCAGAACGAGGGACTTCATGGTGCCTCCCCTGCGCTGGGCTGCACTGCCAGGGTGCCAGGGTGCCTTTATAGGGTACAGCAGCCCTGGCAAGGGGGGCACGGCCCCTCCAGGGTTATTTCCAGCACATCCGCCACGGCCGGAGCTGCCGGCACAGGCGGCAATTGTGGTTTGGGATGAACTTGGTCCCCCCGTGTTCGGCCAGAGCCCGCAAAGGGAGGGAAGGAAGGGAGGGAAGWGTGGCCCTGGGCCASGGGGGATTTGCTGGTGGTTGCAGCCTTGCTGGACTGGCAGCACTGGTCTGCACTGGGAYGGGTGATGGAGCACTGATGGGGCGCTCCCCAGTCAGCCCCTGCCCTCTCCCAGCTCCTGCTGCTGGATCCMAACACCTTCTGTGCCACAGGGAGACTTTCCTGCCAAAACCTTCGGGCTTTTTCTCCATGTGCAGGGCCAGCAGGCCCACTTTTGTGGGACCAGCACATGCTTTTGTGGCATTGTCGTGCAGTGTCCCTGCAGGAGGGGGATCAGAGCCTCTGCCCTTGGTCTCCACACAGCTCCTCCCTGCCACATGCCATGGGCAGATGCTGCATGGCCAGGGCAGCAGCTGTTCCCAAAAACAGGACTTCAAAGAGATCCGGCACCTCTAAAAACCCCAAAAAGGGGCTTTACCAGGAAAAAATGTGTAGTTTCAGCCCTGTGCAGGGGAGTGGGGCTGCCAGCACAGCAGAACYTCTTGTTCATCCATCCTTTCACATCCTCCTCTCCTCCAGACCCCAGCAGTGCTCAGGCACTCACCCACACCCAGTTTGCTCCTATTTAACYCCAGGAGGGCTCCAGGCAGTAGGAGTCCCTGAGTGACATTCCTCTTTAGGATCCTGACCACTTTCAGGTCCTATAAACCCCAGCACCGTCTTGACAAGCGGAACTGGAGGCTTTGGGGCGGAGKAGGACAGAAATGCTGAACCAGAGCTTTTGTCAAACAAACCCATAAAACACAGAGTACGCTGGCCAAGTGCGTGGTGGGAGCCAAGCTGGGAACAACAGCTCCAATTTATTGAGATTGCAGAGCAGCCAGGGGAGGCAGAGGGGAAACTGTCGCTGCCGCGGGCTCTAATTGCAAACAGAGGTTGGGGCGTGGTGCTCCCGTTTGTCACAGGGCACAGCCTTTCCCTGGGGTGCAGAGCAGGAAATCTGCTGCCCTCAGAAGCCCTCTCAGTCCTCATCAGGTGTGGGGGGACTCTCCTCATTCCCTGCCCAGCCCTGAGAACAACCTGTTCATGCTGGAGGCTCTGGTGGGGCTCTGCCAGGGAGATCCCGTCAGCCTTTGTTTCCCTGGCTCACAAACTTGTGATGACGTGGTAACAGACGACTCTGGGTGGGGAAAACCAGTCTGGCTCCAGAGATTCCACAGGAAAACATTAAAATCCTGTGCCACAAGCCCACGAAATCAAGGCAGGGCTGCTTCAACCTCTGAAAAGATCCCTGGATCCCTCAGGTTGCCAGGAGGGGAGCAGGGCAGGAAAATCATTTGGAAAACAGAAAGAATGGTAACGAGGAACTTCGTGTAGCACATCTGCAATAGGAAGGGGTTTGAGAACACACAGATTGAATGAATCTGCAAGCATGGGCAGTGTCAGCTGAGACCTGCCCTCAGCTGCTCGCAGACTCCTCGGGCCCAGGCACAGCCTGGCTTGGGGCTTAAGGCACTGAATTTTGTCTAACACACAGCTAAAATAGCTACAAAGCCCCAAATGTGGCTTTGGAAACTGGAATCAGACCTGTCACAGCACTAAGGGAGCAGATGAGTGCACAGACCTACTTTGGGACTCTCTATATCCAGCTGAGCAGGAAACAGGGAATTGCCATCTATTTCCGAAGATTCCAATGGCTTTTTTTGTTTCTTTACCAAATCTGATCAAACTGTTCCGGTCCAGCAGCCATTCCAGTCCCTCTGTAGTCTCCAGTGGCCTGATGGGTGGTTCTCAGATTGGGTTCTGTGCACACCCTTTCCCATGGGTGCTTTGGGATGATGAGCTGCCCCTGCAGAGCCTGTGGGATCCTGCAGCCTCACTGGGGCTCCTTGAACGTCATGATGAGTTCTTGTTGCTCTTTACTGATTGCCTGGAARGAAAATGACCCATGGACATCAGCCACGATGCTTCTGCCATCCTGCCATGCTCAGGGTGGACAATGGGCTAAGTGTGTCCACACACTGCTGTCCCCTGCATGTACAGAACAATAAACTGGGAACCTCCCACATCCCGCTCACTGCACAGGGAAAAGCACCTGAGACCTCCAGAGAAAATGCCCAGGCCTAAAGTTTCAGCAGGACTTGGCTGCTGGGGAGGTCCTGGAGAAGTGGAGGGTCTGAATGTCATTCCAGGCCCCACTGAGATGGGTGCTACAAGGAGTTTTGTTTGGTTTGATCAGTTTTTACCTGCCATGCCTGCTGGCGAGCCTGGATCAGCTGCTGCAGCTCTGCAATYCTTTCCCTCCCCATCAGCACGGACTCAGCCACCTTCCTGTTCTCCTCCTCCTTGTCCCTGAGCAGCTGGCGCAGGTAGGAGCGGTGTTTCAGCAGGTATGGCACCAGGGTGCTGCGAACATCCTCCTCTGGGATGCCACTGGGTCTCCTGGGGACACAATGGGGTGAGGAGCAGATTGTGCCCGGTGTTAGCCCCACATACCCCGATGGGAGGCTGAACTGCTGCCAGTTGGGATCAGCTCTGCAGCT